GGCAGAACTCATATTCATGAACCACATAAATTTTCGACTTTCCATAGATCTACAAAAATGAATTAACCAATAAAACTAGAATAGATATTTCAACAAAGAAATAGACTTGTGAAATTCTGATTTTTTTTTAAACTTCATAGGTTTGTAAAGTATTCCAATAGAAGCATCGGGCAATTTCTCGTTTTTGCTGAAATTCGATTTTTCAGGGTTAAATAAAAGTTAATGTATTTCTATTCCTTCCTTTTCAAGAAACTGTTGGAACAAAAATTTAATGGCTTCTTTTCTTATGCCCTATAAAAGTGTGTAATAGAATTGTAAAAAATTTGTTTATTTATTTATTAAAACAAACAGATTTTGAACAATTTTATTGCACGCTTTATTAAAAGACGTGGATTCTGTCATCGTCGTGTTAACAGCAAATTTATCCTATAATCTACCATCCAACGTTTTAATAAAACAGCAGTTCCTAACACACTAACCCTAATTTGTTCCTCAACCTAGTAAGTCTCTTAAAACTGTGCGCATACGACATAATCGAGTCGACTCAATGAAACCAGTAACAACCACTTCGTTTCATCCTTGCTGCTATGAACATTATTCAGTCTCATTCACCGTCGTAGTTCATTCATCATCTTGATTCGGTCCCGTGAACGGGAAGAACGATTCCCAGAGCGAACAATAAAACAATTATTCCATGCTGCAATGTAAACCGATCCGACCTGGTGTGTAAAAGCAAGTACTCGTGCCGTTATTTTCAATGTCCCATTCATTACGAGCGATCAACCCCGGGGACATCTCGGCGTTCCACGAGCAAGAATTATTAACCCTTTGCACTCAGAGACACTCCTTTCATTCCGAATGACTGTACAGTCCCATCAATCAGATTTTTCGAAGTCACCGAATTCTTAATTATTCATACGTGGTCTATGACAAGAACCCCGGTTCAAGCCATAAATGGTACATCGTTTGCAGGCCAAACTTCAACAATGATAAACTCTCTAGAGTAAAGTAATTACTAGTCTGCGGGTGTTTATGCAAATATAGATTTTTGGGAGTTAATTTACAGGATCTGGAATCAAACCACGATCGGTGTACTTTATTTACTATTCTAGCAGGTTCCAAAGAAAACAAAGATTTCTTCCAAATTGATCAAGCTCCTAAGTATAGTGAATTCTAGAGAATCGTGTGTGCTATAATAGCATAAAGTCCGCAGTCAAGTAATTACTCTAGGGTGCAAACAGCCTTCTTATTAGGAAAACACCAAGAGAAATCCATAAACTTATCAGCTTAGGACGCGTCCATTGATAATATCCAGCCGTACTCCCAAGCCCCTAAAATGAAACAAACGCGTACGATTTAAGGACTTTCTCCAAAAACGGCAGAAAATTATGTAAAACATTTGTGACTCGTTCTGAGTTGCGATAATCAGTATGTGGGGCAATTGATGTCTCTATAACACTATTCAAAACGTAAAAATCTTTATAACCTTCAATAGGCGTTTCTGATAGATTTTTATGAGCTGAATACGAATCTGCAACTCTATTACAAACGAAACAGATTTGGTAATTTTCGTTGACACATTCCTTAGCAGAAAGGTCTGCTCTATCGCATGCGATGGATAGATTTTTTCCTAGACCCTTAGTTTTTGAAATAAATTGAAGAATATCAGGAGAAAGTAGTACGGTATAGTAGTTAAAAGTAGTTTCGGTATTCCTTTCACTTTAATCATTATTTAAACATATTTAGATGCATATAATACAATAACAATTGACACCATTTTGTTTAAGAGAGTCCAGAGAATTATTTCGTGTCAAAAGCAACTGAATAACTACTACCGTAATAGTACAATACACCTCCAAACTTGAAAATTTGCAATTTCCCTAAAAATCGATTTTTTTCAAATACTGAACGTACTGTGGAAAAACGGTTTACTCCTTCGTATTCAGCTCAGAAATATCTATTGAAGGGTACGACGTCGAAAAAAAAGTTAAAATTAGTTGAACAGTGACAGACGTTTGGCAATCGTGGTCCCGACAATCGACATTTTACTCCTCAGAGTAAAACGCCCTGCAGACCTGATTCAAATGCAATTGTTAAAATGAAACACGAATCCTGAAAGTCGTCAGGATAACGATTAAAACGACAACGGTCTAGTGGCCGGTCTGTTTCAGCTCGGCGAAATTAGTATTTCGCTGTTAACGAAAGGTCTCGTCTGTCGGCTTATTAAATTTTAAGTGGCCCAGAGCTTACCGGTGTTGTCCTCGCCTCAGATTCAAGGGGACTCCCGAACGACCGTTTACATTCTGCACGATGAATACCCGGTTGAAAACGAAGGAACGCTCGAGGACCGTTCGAGGCACCGAACGATTCCCTGGCAGCGGCAATTAACCGCTAATTGCTACAATCGTACCGTCTCGACTCAAAGAATCCTTCTGAAGGTACTCCGTACAGAAACTGTGGCAAGAACCTTCGATCGGTCTGCGATCGAGCGTGGTGATAGGAGAAATTTCAACAATTCTTCAATTATCCGGAATGACTTTTAAAATACACACACACGTGAGATGGAAACGGATGGGAGTGGTGAAAAACGTAAACAATTATCAACGAACAGAAAACACTAATGGAACCAGCAAGAAAGGAGTTTTCATTCTAGAGCAGAGGTTCTCAAACTTTATTTTTTTGTATTACTGAAATAGATAGCCACACGAAGAGTCACGAACCACTCATTAAAGATTAATACTCCAGTGCAGTATACGTATACAGGGTGAACCACGAATCATGATCAGTAGAGATTGCTCTGTTATTAGCAGTCCGATCGAAAATGTTTTTTCCACAAAGAATTATGGATGCATGCTCAGGTATCAGTGCAGAGGTCATAGAAAGTGCTATACACTTTTTTATTCACCGTCTACACGAGTGCATTGCAGCTGACGGAAATACAACTTTTATTTTCGATGACTTTGTACCATCAGGCAGGCAATTGACAATCAGACAATTGATTCGTTGTCGAAACAAATATGGCGATTTTTATGCAGTGAAGTCATAAATGCTGTTTTGCACCTGTTCCAATTTTTGGAAGTGCATATCTGCCAAATGGTGTTGGAATGATTTGAATAAAGAAGAGTCTGTTGGTGTTAAGGAAATATACAGAATACAGTTGGTGGGGTACTGTTTCTTCTCTTAATCCTTTAACTATGGGTATATATTCATGAAACTGGCCGTCCAAACTGAAAAAAATAAATCAATAAGTGACACTACTGAAAATAATAAGTTACGGAATAATAACAGTACCTAAACAATAAATAGTTTCCTCATCGCTATCAACACTGTTTGAGTCATTCTCTATTTCACTATCATTGCAATCAAATGGTTAAATTCATACAACATACACTGCCGTAAATGCATTTCGTCAACACTTCTTTCAGTCACTGTTTAGAAACACAAAATACATCGAACGAATGATACAAAATTCAATGTGAACCAGGACGTCCGAATCAATACAGGCACTAGACAGTCTATGAACAATTTCAATCTAAAAAAATTACGTTTGTTTATGTAAACAACATGAGAAGCGACGTTACATATGGAATAATCTAACATCAAATAAAAACAAGATTAAAGTACTATTTTGAATAAAATAGTCTCCATTATGCAAAAACTTACATTCCCAGATTTTTGGTCGTATTTCACGTCCATTGTCAAACTTCCACACAATCAGCTGAAATTCAAACACAGATGTCGTTTCTTCGCTCGTGTACACGTGGCCTAATTTCGTCATTTTTCAATCGAATTGTTCATCTAGCCTTTTCGATCGACGATCAATTAACGAAACTCTCGATCCATCTCCGTTCGGATGGTACACCGATTCAGCCGCCGTCTTGTTCGGGAAGTTGGCCGAGCAGGCCAGAAGTTGGTCGTCGTTTTGCATTTTATAACAGCGCTGGTGGGAAGTTACGAATGAATTGGGTTGCCGAGGGTTGTTTGCGAGCCGAGGCGCTCGTAAATCAGCCGCGAGATCAGCGGGAATTAACTTGCTATTGGAGTAATGAAATACTTCTCTCTCCTCCCCTGAAGTGCCCCGCCGGAAGATACGTAGCCGAGTTTCTTGGTCTTCTCCCCGCTTCGACGGTCTTTTGCCACGATGATTTAACGTGGCTCTTCTTGGGCTTCGTGTATCGCTCGAAACAATAGGGACTCACGATTCCTGGAAACTCGAAATTGTTCGCTTCTTCGTGACGCTGTTCAAAGCTCGGACTTACTGCTGAAATTACTCGCGTGCCCGCTAATTTTTTGGTTAAATTCGCAGGAATCCTGTGTTATATCACAGAATCTTAAATGAAGTATGGTAAAATAGTGCAAACATTAAATAAATAAAGTGATGGTTTTTATATAATTCACAGTTTGATTAAGAGTGTTACTGGGTTGAGTCGTAAGAACCTTTCACATTTTATGTCGAAGTTATATTGAGCAGTAATTGAGTAACGGTAATGATTTAATTATGTTAATATTAATTATAATTACTGCGTTTAATCGTGACGAGTAGACGGCGGATTTTTATGTGAAATAACATTTTGTTAAGCGATTTGTAAAGACAGAAGCAAATATAGGAATTTTTTTTTATTCTAAAGTATCTTGTTAGGTTAAAAATACAATAGGGATCTCGTTGTACCTTATGAAAGTTGTATTTTTCATTGTATTGTATTTCACATAGTTATATACAATGCGTCAATTGACATCGCGTTGCGATTGATACGCAACGCTACTGCGGGAGCTCGGCCGGCAAACTCGCGGTCTAATTGGTCTGGGTTTTTCGTCAATATCTCGTCAACAGAGCCTCAGGTAACAGTTTTCCTATGGAAAAACTTGTTTCAAATCACCTCACGAGTATCCCATTTTCGGGTCAACGATCCCCAATAATTCTCCCACTATTATCATCCTCCCTATTTCAGCGAAGGTATCATTCCACGTGGCAGTTATCTTCAGTGTCTGTTCTGTTCCAGAGCTAAACTCCACGTCCTCCTCGACCAGAGAGCTCGGCGAGCTTGTCGAGGATATCGAGAACGACGAATTAAACAAGGACACGGACGAGGATGAGGACGCGGTCGAAGACATCCTTTATATGCGCGGCGCGTCTTTTACGATACACTTGGACCCGCCGCCCGAGAACACTACTGTGAATTCAACGAAGATTAACGACGAGACCGACGCCCCTCTCGATCGAGTCGAGTTACGAGCTACGTCCCAGGTACGTGTTCGTTTATTACCGGACGTGGAGGATTTTTACGCTCTGAAAAGATGATGAAATGGTTGGTCGAAATAATCAGTTTGGTTTGAATAAAATTGATTGAACTGCTGGATCGTAATGTCGGCTTTCGACGATACGGTAGACGCATCGCAATCAGCCAGTCCTAAAATGGTGGAACTGAATCGGTTTTTCCTTTGTTGTATTAATTAAAGGTTGCTGAACACGATGCTGATTTTAGGTTTTCCCATACATGTCATAAAGTTAGCTTCTTCGATAATAAAATTAGCGCTGTTCAGTTTGATTTGTTTATTCAATTATTTACCAGTAGAATTTTTCTGACTTTATTTCTATCGTATTTAACAAATAATATAAATAATAATGAATTTAAATAAAAAATGTAGACATTTACACAGAGTCTCTAATTCATAACTGTCATGTTTCCTGTGTTTATAGCAAAAATTTAATATTTAAAAATATTACTTATTGTATTCAAAAACACGAACTACATGCTTTTGTACAGTTTCATGTTTACAATTGAATTAAAAAAATCCTTACGTATAAGGCTCACAGGTTCAGAAATTAAAAATCAAGTAAAGAAAACCAGTATATCACTCCATTTTAGAATTTTCAAAATGTTGTTGTACCATCTAATTTCTAAGCAAGAGTCGTAACGTTTTGTTTTACTTTAAATATCCAATTGAAATAATGAACTTTTTCATAACAAAATGAACGAAATCGTTATGAAACTATCTGTTGCATCAAGATTTGAGCGCGTTGAGCTGTCTTACTGTTTGCACTTTTCTGCGAGCATTTCCTTTTTGTCGCCGTGAACCTTAATGCACCGAGGACACCGGCGTGTCCATGTAATTAAACATCCCTTGAAGACCTTTTAAATCTTTCCGTTAGAAAAGTGGATAATCTTTTTCCCAGGACTGACAACCTTATTATTTTTAAAAATAAGGCTGGCATATCGTGAATTTTTTCATAACGCCCGTAGCGAGATTGAATACCATTGATGTTAATTAATTAATTAATCATTCGTTAAAGCTCATTCGCGCCTTGTATCAATTCGACACTATTTTTCCTAAGAAATGATGTTATTCTGTCATGTGTAGGTAAATTTAGCTGAGGTTCTGTGACTTATATTTTAAAAAACTTGCAAATTTAACTATTCATCTCTTTACTAGATCAATTTTTTACCATTGTGCCAACTAGTCACTGAAGTACAAATTAAATTAGGAAAATAAGAGACGGATAATGGTTAATTATCATAATGATCTATGCAAGGTGCGTCCGAAAGAATAGTACAAGAGAGGAGGAGATGACTCCTTATAGTAAAATAAATCAAAAGAAAATTTGTAAATATATTAAGAGATTGTTTATATATAATATACAATGGATGATCAAATTATTAAAGTTACAGCACGAAAAATATGTTCTTTTGGTCTTTATATGGACATTAAATCAAAATATTACGTTATTAATTATCGATTGTCCATTAAGATTACACAAACAAATTAAACTTAGCCTATGTAATGGTAAAAAAATAAGTTAAAATCGTAAAATTGTCAATTTATACAAGTGGCATGATTATTTCCATGCCTGTGGCCATGTCTGAAATAGCATTTATTGAAATATTATTTCAAATAACATGTCATTTTATTTTCTAATCATTTGAAATAATTTTTAGAAATAGTTGTGAAATTGTTCTTTGAAATTGTCTCAGATAACTAGGTCTGAGTTTGATTTATTGACATTTTTCTGAAGAGTAACGCTCCTCTTCCATCTTCCACATCAGTGGAACGATTATTTTCATTCGCGACAATATTATATAGACACAAGCATAAATCTCTCACGGATGAGCTTTTTGAAGAGCAGGTTCTGCTTGAAGCAAATTGCTGTAAATATTTGTTAAAATAAAATCTTTTTGTTGCATATTATTTTGAGTATCATTTTTTTGCCAAATTTGAAATACAAAAATAGGAAAATAAATCATTATTTGAAATTGCTATTATTTCATAATGAATCGATAATATTTTTATTTTCAAGTAAAAGCACTGCAAATAAAGTTCCGAAAGAAAGTATTTCAAATAATTATTTCTTATTTTCACTTCAAATAAAATTTGCCCAATTCTGGTTTCACTGATGTGAAGCATATCTCTACGTTTTCACTTGAGAAATTCAAGTGTTCTCTCCAAAAACAAATAAAACAAAAACAAAATGAAAAATAGTAGGTCTGTTTAATATCGATACTTTCGACATCAACAAAATACAGCATATATATCAGTCTCATAATTTTGAAATAACGATTCAACGATGTCAGTGTTAAAGGGTTAATATCTTCTGCTGAATTCACACAATGAAAGTTCCCCACGATAATTTCAGTTTTTCTCATTTGCGATACAGCAGCATTTCAGATTTCCGTTTCGATAAGTCATTAACGTCGAAAATTTTCGACCCGCGGATGTGCAAGTGGCGGATCCCCGAGAGGATCGTAATTTCTATTCGTGCCGGCGCAAAATTATACTGAAACTCGAGTTCGAGATTGAAACTAGCCCGATAAATAATTTCACCAATTCTCCAATTATCCCGAATAACTTCCAACCCCGGCCCCAGTATTCCCTGTTCGGGGGTTAAAATACACGCACGTGCTGGAAACGAATTGAGCGGTGGTCGGGATGGGGGTAGGGAATAAACGTAAACAACTATCAGCGAACAGGAAACAATAATAGAAAAAAACAGAAGAGGAGCAAATTCTAAATTAAATTTCGTTGAAGCCTTTCGAAATAAATTGAGAATTGTCCAATTTCCACGCAGGCAACGACGTATAACCATTGGTTCGGCCGTTGGAAGTCACGAGGAATGAAGTGGCTTGATGAAAAAGGGGAAAAAGAATTTTTAACGAATCCAATCGAGTGTATTTGATTTTTATCTTTTGTTCTTCGACTTGCGTGCATTTAAACCGTGCCAAGGACTTTGATTATTTTTGCCGATGAAGCCACCTGATTATTTAGTGGAAACGTTTGTTTGATACACTGGGTATATTTTATTGACTAATAAATGGAGGGATTGTATTTTCAATGTAAATTACATTTATCGGTTATTTTACTGTTCACTGTTGTATTAATAATATCCCAAACTGCACACTCCCACTCAAAAGTTTGGAGCATCTTAGGGTATCAAAAGAAACAATGACTTTCTTATGTAAATAAATATTTTATTCATAATATTATTCTTCTGTAATATTGAAACTGTGGTTGTTAATATAATATTTCTATTATTTTCTATTCACAGTTCTTTTGACATTACCATAAATAAAAAGCAGTGTAACAGAACTTTCATAGAATTCGATTAAACCTAAACAATAGAATGAGGTTCAATTTAATTTTTGTTCCTTTGGACGATGATCACTGTTGATTCCTCTTTTTAAAAACAGAGCATGCAATGTTTTAAGCAAACAAAAAACGCTCATAAAGGATAACATTCTCTATCCGCACTAATTACCAGCAAAATACAAAAATGTTATTTACGCCGAGCCATTCCCATTAACCCAAAATCCGCGTTTTTATACAAATCACGGCTGTTTTTCTTTTTTTTAACGCAGCACATTTCCACGTAGCCCGGACTTCCTCCGCCCTTATTTAAAAGGTCTTCCGGGATAAAAACGTTGCGACGCGTGCAACAGGTCCTTGTACAAGCGCCTGGTTCGTTCTTCGGCCGCCTCGAGCCTTGTTTCCCCACCAATTCACGATGACCACGAAAGAAGTATCGATCCTTTTCTGAATCGTAACATTGGTTAGAAAAAATGAATATGGATTTACGAAGTTCCTGAAAGTTCGACTGTGAAAGTGTAAAAATACGAAACATTAATAATACGTGTAACAATAAGTACGCCATAATTCCAATATGGTGGCAATGAATTCTAGATTTAGAATATCCTTCCAGCCTTATCTTTAGATAAAGTGATAAAGTTGATGGAAACAAATAAAGAATATACACTATTAAAACAGAGTACATACCCCTACCAAATTAACGGCCTTTACGAACCTTATACAACTGACAATACTATTTGGAAATATTAAAATACTAATTGCAATTAATCCTTTGTCAACCCTGTTATTTATACTGCTTTCGTCCCCCCTCACCCCCACCCGGGTCTTGTATACCCAGATCTTTTTTTTTATCCCAAAGGCTTCCAAAAAATATGAAAAAATTCAAGGCTACTTCCCAGGATCCTCCACACGATCCAATAGTTTTTGAAAGTTGAATGTTAAACGGTTTTTTCTAAATAACAATCCCTTCATTTCGAAGATATTTGAGCGCAAAACTTCGCTTGTGCCATAAAAGACCAAGGCTGGCCGCAGAGAGTTAATATCAGAATACCAGTAGGTGAAATAATCCAAACGACTTAGATACCTCTACCAAATTAGTGACATTCAGGAATCGTACCTAACTCACTAAACCATTCTGAAATACCTAAATACTGTTCGTGCTTAATACCAGTTTCGGCGTCACATGATACGTTAACATTTTAGTATCTAGATCCTGAAGACACTCGAACCGTCGACTAACCGTGCCACGCGATCTGTTCCCTCCTCAGGGCCCGAATTTAGAGCAGAAGCTCCCGTCAACGATGGAAAGTATCGTCAGCACGGAGCCAGCTTGCTCGTTGGACTGCGGGCCGGCTGGAAATTGTTACATCGAGCAGTCACGGGGCGACGACGTCGTCGAGCTGGTGGACGACGAAGTCGACGACGAGGCAACCGACAACGGGGACGACGACGACGAGGCCTCGATGGCGATGGATCTCGAAGGGAACGACGTCGCCCCGAGACGGAGGCAAGGGTCCTTCAGGCAGCGATGTCAATGCCCCCTTGGCAGAGGCGGCGATCGATGTCAGCTAGGTGAGTGATTTTCATTTAGCCACGTACCTATCCACCGTGCTTCACGCGCTCTTCTCGGTGTGTATCGCGCGCCTCGATTCCGCGGGAGCTGAATAAGGGGGTGGACCGAAAGTGTCCCTAGTTCGTTGGCATCAGCCGTAGTTGCTGCCAGGCCAGATATCCGTTTGGATGAACGCCAGTGCATCGAGCTCACTGGCAACCCTCTGGAAATCGATGGAATATGATGAGATTGAGAGGCGTTTAATTGGAGTTCCATTTATGGATTGTTGGAATTTTATTTCGATTTTGTTCGCGAGACAAAAATGTATGGCTGATGGGGATTAGAGCAGCCAGACTCAACCTTTTGTTTCTCGGGCCACATACATATTATTATGTTTGCTACGTTACGTGGGATGTAACATATTACACTGTGCCTTATAATATAATAATGTAAAAAACAAAATTCCAAACCTAAATGTAACCATGGGCGTAACCAAGGAGGGGCATTTGCCCCACCCTATAAGAAAAAAATTGGATTTTAGCCCCCCCCCCCTACCTTCCCAGAGTTATAAATTTTTTGCATAATATTTAATATTGCAGTATAATTTGAAACACGATCAACAGCCTCTATTAACAAAACGCATACATTTTCAACGACTTTAAAAAGGAAATAATGTGTGTCTGACTACGTACAGCCTTTTTCACTGTGGTAGTCGATGTGTTAATATTTTTTCCCTCCCCTGCGACTGATAACATGGCCACGCCCATGAATGTAACTAAGCATTTATTTAAAAATTAATGTGATTTTTTATGTAGAGGCTAACTTTGACTATTTTAGACAAATCAGGTTTACATTTACTACATGCTACTATCAATCATCAAGGTGAGAATCAGTATGCTGATTTCTATATACATTCTTTGCATATTGCATTTTGGAATAGGATGATCCATATAGATCTCGTTGATGCGAACAACGTGAGCCGAAGGTGGACACATTTTTGTACAGTCTTGTACTGTTCAGGCACCAATTTCTAAAATTCCGCGTACTTCTTTTCCCTATCTCTTTTCTTTCAAAATAACTTCCAGATTTGTATCGTTTTTGAACTCAAGAAATTCGTCGAACAACTTTGCATTGTAATGCAGCTAGTTGTGTAATAATTGCTGTTTCTAAGTACCAGGGATATTCTACAAGCAACAGACAATTCTTGATACTTCATAAATCCTGAAATCTGCTCTTAAATTCCTTGGATAAAGTAGCTAAATAATTTGAAATTATCGTATAGTTTTCTCGAGAAATGTCAATGCCATCTTGTTTAGCTTTCGTTACGGTTGAAAAAGTATTAATGAGTGTGTATGCTTCGGGCCGCACAATAAAAGCTTGGTGAGCCGCAGTATCGCTGGATTAGAGGATTAAATATTGGTGGTTTGGGATCAGTTGCAAGTTCAGATACTGGGTGTTAAGAAAAAGGATTGTTGATTTTGAGAGGATGCAATACGCACTAAAGGGACGCGAAAATATTTTCGGAGATTGATGGACTCTACATTTCGAAAGAATACGATCGTACCTTGAGAAGAAGAGGCTAAAGATGCATGGGAATGTAGGGGGAATATTTATAATGCGTTATGTAAATACAGATGAGAAGTTTACCGTAAAATAAACTTGATCTACTAATATATTTATTAACGAAAGATCGTTTTTATCTCCGAAAGTATTGATTTTTCAACTCATATTTACTATATATTTTTTATTGAGTGTAGTGCATATCGTATTCTCTTAAACTAGGTAACCCTTGTTTAGATGAATTCTTAAAATCGATTATCTCGAAGGATAAGTGTCTGATGGAAAAAGTGTATTCTACACTTTTCATTTATTTTTATCCATGAAACACACCTACTGCCCCGTTATACTATATTTTCGCTCCCACTTTGTATAATTGAACGAAAAAACTCGACTGGCAAATCTGACGGGACAGTTACAATTACTCCAGTCATCTTTTATTTTACCACTATAACTACATAAGTCTACCCTGTTAGTAGCATAGTTGATAACAGTATACCTACATTCATTTCGTGTACCTAATAATACCTTGTCCATTTATTATTTTATTATATGTCTACGTAAATTTCGTCAAGTTGGTAATTCCCAATTGGAAAAAAGTTTCTAGAAGCTAGTTCCCCATAGCCAAGATAGCTTCTAGTACAAAAGGTTTAAACTAACGACTGCTACTAAATCCTCTGTCATACCTACACTTGCCTCAGAAACTAAGATAACGACCAAATTTAATACCGTATTCCGCCAAAATGCTGCTAAAATAAATGCTGAAGGTCCCAATGAATCTCCAATAAATGTCAAAAGTAACACGCAGAATGTCTCAACTTATAGCAATACGAAGTGCATCACTGTTCCTGAATGAAAAAAATTAGAGAAAGAGAGAATTCATACACTTCTAGTCTGCGCGTCTCCCCAGACAATGTTGAGTTTCATTACCATTTTTCCTAAACATTTATATTACTAATCTATAGTAGTATAGTACAGACTCCTCTCGATTATCGTCCCGGACTCGGGTCCGCGCCTGGACAATAATCTTATAGGGAGAAATGCTTCAGACCCTCGTAAATTCGTTTTTTGCCTCAAGCCCGAGTCTCAGCAACAAAAGCGGAGGAACAACAAAATATACGCTTGACAGATTCCACCCCCCCCCCTAATAACGCCTGGACAATAATCGTGTAGAACAATCCAGACAATAACCGAAAATAGTCTGTATGTATAAATATTAGATTTTATTTCTGTGGCTTCTGAACATTTAAAAACGTATGAAAAGTATTATATGTGGTTCTTGTTATCGAAGAATTTGTCCAACTCTGGTACATTCATTTTCACATTCGAATTCTCCGTTCGTCATCTCTTTTTCCCGCGATAATACGTTTCATACCCCGCGGACACGGAACCGGACAGCCGAAACCGTGACAAGGAATCAATCCCGAAAATCCTGGTTCGCCGATCGGTTATTTATTTCGCGCTCCGGTCGTCCATTTCACGGGTTTTTGCAACACCGCGGATCAGCTTGGTAGACGTGTATCGCTGGGTTGTGATGAAACTCGCGCGAAAAAGCATGGATAATCGGAAAAAGAACGAGCACCTGACCTGAAACACGCGGGAATACGAACGAGGTACGATCCTCGTGCGAAGCACGATGCGCTTCTATGTCATGGAGAAATAAACAGACGAACTGGGGGTAGAAGTGGAGATGACTGATTTATTTTTTTCTTCCCTCTTCTTTTTTTCACCACATTTCCGCCCTGGTCGAGAGTGACAGGATATTCCCCGCGAACGTCTTGACGGTGAATCACGTCGAACGGTATTTATTTATTGGGTCACGTCGCGTGGAACCGATTGAAGCCACGGCGTATACAATCTCCGCAATGAGGATTGATAAACCGATGAACCGAGAAACACCGGTACTATGGATTTGTGTATACCTTGTCTTCGTTTCTGGAGAGAGCGGAATGATGAGTACCTGGATTTTCTTGAAATTAACGAGAACTGAGGTTTTTAGTCGCGAGAGGATTAGACTATGGATGAAATCAGAATTTGAATTCGATTATGGATCAAAATTATTAACCCCCTTAAGGGAGCCTTCTGTTTTGCGGGTCCGTAAAATAGACGATTGTTTACGAATTTTGTACACGAAAACTGTTCCACCGATTGGTCTGAAGTTTATTAGGTTGCTTTTGTGTTGTCTTCAACAATTGCTCTAAATTTTTTGTGACGATAAAAGAAAAAATATTGTTGATACAGACCGATGACTGGGGGCGTCGTCTACCTCAAGAATGATCTGAAACACAAAAGTAAAGAGAGATTCTTAATCTGTATGAATGTAGCAATCTATGGTAGCCGATTTGTTAAAGAGAATAAAAAATTGTTAAAATGGCAACTTTCTGAATAAATGAATCAAATTCTGCCCAAAAATCAAAAAAGTACCTTTAAATAAAGAAAAACGGTAATAATTTGCATTTCAAATAATTCTTGGGGTACATTTTTTCAACGCCCCCACTTATCACTCTGTAGCAACAATATTTGTTCTTGTATCGACACATAAAAATTCAAAACAAGAGTTAAAGATAATACAAAAACAACTTGATAAACTTCGAATTAATCTGTCGAATAGTTTTTGTACAAAAATTAAGGTTCACCTCCATAATATTACTTCCGATAAAAATATGACCGCCTCCTCTGTACTATTCACATTTCTCATTGTTTATATTATTGTATCGTTTTATTCGAATTTTCTTGCTTTCTAATTCCATCTTGTGCAAACGTAACATTACCTAGCTGGAATTTGCATGTATAATTTTTTACTATACATACAAAAACAGACTTTTTTTTCGAGAAATTGTGTTACCATTTTTCATAATAAAATTATTATTATTTGATCATAATAATATTAAACAAATTTCCAAAAATGTTTCGAACGGCGCTGTCGTTCTTTGCTTCTGATTTCATTCACGGTCAAATTTACCTTAACAATTAATATTTCAGCAACATTTCGGTATGGATTTCCCACTTCACCATTAAAATATGAATAGGAAAACGTCATTAACTCCTCAATACCGTAGGAATATACAGAAGTCCATAAAGGATGCAATCACCGTTCCCATTCAACCCTCAAATTACCCAAAATACATTTCCCTCCCGCCACAAAAACAATAAACAAAATACCACATATTTTTCAATTATTCCACGGGCATCAGTAACCCATCGACGAAATGCCCGCACCACAAAAATGAACTATCCACTATACATTTCTTACAACCCTTTCTCTCACTCGCAAAAACACGAACTGCAATGCCTCCTCGCTTGTGTGACGCAGCTGATAATCATCTGAATCACCAACCAAAGTCCTGTGAGGCCACAGGATGTATCACCGACCAATATCCAAAACCCTAATAAAATATCCAAACCTATATAAGCCAACCCAAAATAAAATACAAGGAATCTTAATCTTGCTCTTGTTCACGAA